GATGTGCGGGCAACCTCATAGTCCTCGCGTTCGCGCTGGACTTCCTCGTCGGAGAAGACATCCTCTTCAATGAAATCGTCCATCTCGTCGTGCATGGGCCTCCGGTGGCCGGATCGTCCGTAGTCGCCGGCCGGCTCCTCATCCTCATCGGAATTGAAGATATCGTCGATGCCCTGGGATGGTTGTCGTAGATCGCGATCTTTGTGTCCACGCTTAAGACGCTTAAATTTGGGCTAATTCCAGCAGGTTGTGTTAGTACGCGCGACAGGAGTTTTGCCCATGGCGATGCGCTAGACATACCTCAGCTGCGGATGAAGACTGGAACCTCGGAGGTAGTTCACCGATGAGCTCTAGATCTTCTTCATCCAAATGTTCATCCTCGCGCTCACGATCCCTTTGTTTCCTCTTCTCCCGCCGGCGCTCGGCGCGCTCTTCTAATTCTTCATCCTCATCGACAATGAATCCTTCACGAACCTAACACGGAGAACGAAAGTCAGCGCAGGAGCCAAGGAATTGCGCGCCAAGGTCAGTTCTTCGGAGGACTTACTGCACGGGCAGCCTCTTCATCATCATCGTCGTCCTCCTCTTCTTCACTGGAGTCGTATTGATTGTTGTTGGTGCCAGCACCCTCTCGGACATCGCCATCATAGTCGTCGGCCAACTCCTCGTCATTTTCATCGTCATCGATCATCGCCTCCCCCTCAACCAAGTCGCGTGCACTCATATTGTGTTACGGTGTTACGTGTCTGGGGAGCTGGGAGGTGAATCAACTTCCTGCAATCTGCAAGAGATGGAGAAAGGGAAGTTGGAATGGGCCGCTGCGGGGAGAATGCTCAAAGAGGATGGAAGCAGAAGCTTGACAATTAGTTGAATGGAAGGTCGACCCCTGGGGAACACGAAGAAAGAGGACAAGGAACCGAAAAGGGAGAGATTTTAGGGGAGACGTGGGGAAGAGAGTGAAGTAAATGAAGAGCTGGTCTGGGAAGTGGTGGACTAAATCGAGTGATTGATTCAACACGGGCAGAAGCAGAGACGAGGCTGCTGCTGTGGCGCGGCTGGCTTTCTCTTTCACCGCTCAGGAAGATGTGGCTGGAAGGGGAGAATGGGGCGGGTACACGTGATGAGGATAATACAGCCTTCCACAACTACCCCGAGTGCAGTTTGATAGATCGAGCATGTCACATGACAATATCTGGAGAGTCAGTTCATGACTTGGGAAGACCAGAACAATTCGGTTTTCTTGACATTCTAAATTTACTCCTACCACCCGGGTGGAGTTTATTCTAGATGGAGTTCGATGCCCAGACAGAAACTAGTGTGGCGGAACCCCGCCAGTGAGTGACTCTCCCCCTGTTTCACTACTCCGTAGTATTACCGGAGGCACAGTAGTTACCTTCAGCTGTCCAGGCACTGAGAAAGAATCAAATTTTCATTCCCTGTAATTTTTTTCCCTTAGTGCTTCTCACAAGAAAATAGGATGGTAACAAAACAAATGAGAGGTCAATATTTTTTTTTAAAAAAAAAAAGAAAAAAAGAAGAAGAAAAGAAAAAGCAAAGAAAAAGAGACTAAAAGGAAAGATGCATAAGTAGGCTGCTGCCCAAGTAGAACCAGTCTGGATAGATAAATGGATTGAAATAATAATCTCAAATGAACCTATTTACTTGGCTATTTGGCTATTTGGTTATTTGGCTAATATTATTATTGTCAGTTCAGCTTGGAGGAAGTTGATTACTACTACTACTACTACTACTACTACTACTACTAGAAAGTACTTCCTTCCACCACTGTTTCCTTCTTTCACCACCACCAACTCTTCTCCCCCCTCATCCTCCTTCTCTTCTACTCCTCCTCCTCCTCTGCCAAATCCTTATCTCTCGTTTTCCTACTCAACACCCCCCTGCTGATTATAATCACTCATCGCCTTTGCTCTCTCCTCTGTGAAATCACACCTCCCTAATCTGCCGCCTCTTGTAACCGACCCCCGATCATCCAGCTGAACGCCCCCCCTCCCCACCTGTTCTTCCGGCTTTAGACGCTCGGCGCTTGTCCGGGTCGCAGCGCCGTCCGAGCCACTTTCAATCACAACTGTCGGTCTGCCTAATAACACAATTTCGCTTCTACTGCGATCTCTAGCATTATTCATCCTCTTCATTACGGCGGCCTCGTCACGCCGCCTTCATTCCCTCCGCCCCTCCTCCTCCCCCCCACCGGTCCCCGTCATCAGTCGCCATGGCCGACCAGTTCAAAGCACGCACCCTGAAGCGCAAGAATGTCAAGGGACTTGCCTTGAACGCTGCGCCCAAACCCGCCTCAAACCCAAGTGATGGTGATTCTCAAGCTTCCGGCGCTGTCGGCAACGCCGAAACCACCCGCACCGACACCCTCGAGATTGGCCTGGAGTTTCGACTTGACCTGCGGAGTGAGGATCTCATTACTTTGAAGGAGTTAGGCGCGGGTAATGGTGGCACAGTCTCGAAGGTCATGCATGCGTCGACCAAGGTCGTCATGGCTCGGAAGGTATGCTTCTCGATACCCAGTGCACATGAAACTAGGCGATGCTGATAGACGGGCTAGATCATTCGTGTCGATGCCAAGGAGAATGTGAGAAAGCAGATTCTACGAGAGCTCCAAGTGGGCCATGACTGCAACTCCCCCAACATCGTGACTTTCTACGGAGCGTTCCAGAACGAAGCTCGGGATATTGTGCTATGCATGGAATACATGGACTGTGGGTAGGTCGAGCGTCTTCTGCGGAGTTCTTCGCAAATGTATCCTTCCAACCCATTTATGTTTTGACTGGCTGACACAACAATAGCTCACTCGATCGAATTTCCAAAGACTTCGGTCCTGTTCGGGTAGACGTGCTGGGCAAGATCACCGAGTCGGTGTTGGCCGGTCTCGTCTATCTCTATGAAGTCCACCGAATCATGCATCGCGATATCAAGCCGTCTAACATCACGGTCAACTCACGCGGAAACATCAAGCTGTGCGACTTTGGTGTCGCTACCGAAATTGTCAACTCTATTGCCGATACCTTCGTAGGCACTTCGACCTACATGGCTCCTGAGCGAATTCAAGGAGGCGCTTATACAGTCCGCTCAGATGTGTGGAGTGTGGGACTGACGGTAATGGAACTGGCTGTCGGGCGCTTCCCGTTTGATGCCTCGGACTCGGCGGCAGGCGATCGCGCCAGCGCTGGCCCAATGGGGATTTTGGATCTGTTGCAGCAAATTGTGCACGAGCCTGCCCCGAAGCTGCCCAAAAGTGACGCTTTCCCACCCATCCTCCACGAGTTCGTCGCCAAGTGTCTTCTGAAGAAGGCGGAGGAGCGACCAACACCACGGGAACTTTACGTATGTCATCTCTCCATCGTTGCTTAGATGGTGCGCAAGACTGATAGTCATTCTAGGACAAAGATGCATTCCTGCAGGCCGCTAAGCGGACCCCAGTAGATCTTCAGGAATGGGCCATCAGTATGATGGAGCGACACAACCGGAAGTCATACCTCGCCCCTCCGGCGCCCAAATCACTCAAGGATGACATGCAATTCTCCTCTTCCTCTCACCAGCCCAGCCCCGCGGTCAAGCCTCCTGTTAGTAGTAAAGCCCCCGTTAGCAAACCGTCGCGCACTCCGCAGTACGCCTCTCCCTCGTCCTCGTCCGGCGATATTCCCGTCATGGGTCACGACATGCCCGCACACTACGCCCACAACTACGTTCCCGCCAACCCCTCGCCCCGGCCCCGACGGACCACTCGCTCTCCACCCATATCTTTGGAACACCTGTCGCTAGAGAACCGAGAGGAGGAGTATCGCTCTGGCCGACGGCCTTCCCGCACCCCCGTGGGTGGCCCTTCCCCGGGTTTGGAACCTCCCATGCATCCGATGAGCTCCCGCTCAGCGAGCTCCCACAACACTAAATCGAGAATGCCGCTGCAGTCGGCAGCTGCCCTCCCCGTGCGCTCACCGCACAACGGTCCGTCTTCGGGCTCCAGCGGCAGTGGTTCCTGGCAGCGGTCTATGCGCGGCGATCATATGACCGGTGCTGTCTAAACGAATTCATCGTTGATGCAGGACGTCTCTTTGTCTTCATACCAACATGCTCCCCTTCCTCACCCTTTGCATCATCAAGGCGTAATTCCATCATTGGCCATCAATGTCTTCCATCTTTCACCGCCTTCCCAGCCTCTTTTATCAACCTGGCATCTCTTCTTCTATCTACATACATAGCTATACATACATGTACCCTTTCCCCTTCGATTTCTACATCATATTCTGCCTCACATTATGGCCTCCCCAGATTCCCTGCGATCCATTCCGAGGCAGTGAAAACGATGTTGGCGTTGCAGCAATTCTTTGCGTTGCGTTCAGTTGACCTTGGATGTGAATCGTGAGGCAGGGACTCTCGGATCTCATGTTACATATTGGTTACTTCTTCCTACTCTTTCTGTCTACTTTCTTTGGCTCCTTTTTCTTCTCCTGGGACTATACTTCTGCTGGGCATGGAAAGACCTGGGCCCGACGAATGCGAATACGAGGATGATCTTGTGGGAAAGCGTACATGCGTGGCTGTAAGGGCCTGCACTAGCCGCAGGTAGCTGCACTGCGGTCGGAAGGCTTTTAAGGGGAGGGAAGGGGAAATGCCTTACCGACCCTGATGTACTGCGGAGAACATGCAAAGAGCCGTTGAAAAAACTGCCGGGTGACTGTATTCAAGGCCAGACTCGGAGTAAATTGTAAAGAGTCCCAGTATAAACCATTACCGAGCGAGCAGGAGACAGACATTGGAAGCGAACAAGTCAATAAGCGAAGCAGTAGAACAGAATTAAAGCAAACACCGATTCCCGAAACATGCAGCAGGTTCACGATTCCCGATTACACCCAGAACAGACAAAAGAAGGAAAGACATTAAGCACCCGTGTTTCATAGCATACTCCGGAGCCGGAGGGGGCTCTGGGACACCTCCGAGCCACATCATTCTGCGGAAGACAGCCTCTATCCCTATCTCCTCCCAAGATCGGAGCCTGTAGCTGGACTGGGACCAGCAGGAGCGGGGGCGAGATTCGGTCTTGGGGCTAGCTCAACCATCGGCGTCTTGCCCCCACGAGTACTCGTCGAACCACCACGACTCGCAGCACCCCCTCCGCGACCGGGAGTCGATGCGGTGCTGCCGGTCTTGTCATGGTCTGCTTGGTGCCGGGCAGCTTTGCTGACGCGAGCCCGGCGAGAAGTGTTGCCGCCACGCGATCCAGGACCGCGGACAGGTAGGCCAGTCTCCTGAGAGATGGGAACGGCGGCAGCCAAGGGTACTTGGTGGGGTGTGGTGACCGGGGCCCGACCGCGACCACCACGGCCCCGGCCACGGCCTCTTTTGATCGTGCCGTCCGCCCTAAAAGACAAGAGAAAATTAGCAATGGCATTCAGGAAGGATCGTCAACTGTGGGTGAGTACTCACCGTTCCACTTGCACCTTCTCGCCCTCGGGTACCAGTGGGCCACTGTAGACGAAAAATCCATCCTTACTGGCGGCGGCCTGTTCCTGCCAGGCCAACTCACTGTCATCGACGAATGGATCATCCCGATCATATTCCTCCATCTTCTTCTTGCGTCGTTTCTTCTTGCCGTCAGTGAGCTCAGGCCCAGTGGACCGCGCGGATGCGCCGATGGCGCCATCCCCATCCATTTCACTGTCGCGGTCGACGTCAAGGGTGAGATCCTCGTCCGCACTTTCCCCGGCAGAATATCCTCGTCCAGTCTTGTCGTTGCGCTCGAGGGCAGCTCCAGCGGCTGCGACTCGCGCTAATCGCTCCTTTTGGGCCGCAAGTCGCGGATGTAGCGCCGCGAAGCCGTACTGTTCCTCTGCCAGGCGGGCAAAGTTGACAATCTTGTTGCCATTGCCCTTGAGTGGGATGTGAAGAATTATATTAGGGGTCCGACGCTGCGAAGCTTCGCTTATGGACGTGCTACCGTCCACGCCAAAGAGAGCATTGGAGATCAAGCCTGAACCTTGAGGTAATGGGGGAGGAGCTGAGTCCTTGACCGGTTTGGCGGGTTTGGGCGATGTGGCATTAGACGCTGGTGCGACTCCAGGGCTAGATTTCGCATCCTTCTTGATTGCCTTGGATGCAGCAGTCGCCGAAGCGGGGGGCTCCGTATCGACATCCATCGGTGTTGGCTCGGGGGACGGCGGTGGCTTAGTAGACGGTGCGAGAGCGGGTGGTGGTGGTGCCGGTGCCGGTGCTGGCGCCGCCGCCGCCACTACCGCCGTCGGTGGTACTGATGGCGATGCTACAGGTAGGGGTGCAGAAGATGGTGAAGCGGAAGCCGTCGTAGATGGTAGCTGTACCGACTGCGATGTCTCCGGGACCGGTGCTGGTGGAGGCGGCGCAGCATAAGGAGATCGATGGGCATAAGGTGAGGTCGGTTGAGACTGTAGTTGAATAGGCACTTGAGGCGGCGTGGGTGCGGGTTTAGGAACCACGGGGGAGGGAACATAATTGGGTGGACCTAAAACAGGAGACGCATATGGTCGGGGGGTGTATATCGATGGGGCTGCCGTTGACGGCGGATCAATAATGCTGGCAATGGCGGGTGAAGCACTGGCGCGGTTGGGACGGGGAGAGATGGAATGTGTAGGAGGACTGAATGCCGGAGGGGCGGAGGAGGAAGTATCAAAGGCTGAACGAATCGGATCGAAGTTCTGGCCGCTGGTCCGCTGTGGAGGCTGAGAAGCAGTAGGCGGGGGAGGAGCATGATGATGGGGTGGTGGTGGTGGCACGGACGGCATCATGTTCAAATAAGGTGAAGCCGCGGGCGGGGGAGTGGGAGTGGGATGAGACGACGGAGGTCGGGACAAGGTCGCGTGGAGTGGACGCGTTGACTGCATAGGCGCCGGATGATGTGAAGGGACACTGGGCCGTGAAGGACTAGCCCCCGGAGTGCTGGGAGTCGGAGCTGAAGCCGCGGTCACCGCAGCATTCACCAGGGGGATGGCCGAGAGGGGAGGAGTATGAATGGCGTGTAAAGGCTGTGAAGGTACTGGGGCTGCTACTGCGGCTGTTGCGGTCGCTGCATACGGCAGAGCAGGCCCGGTCGGTCCAGGCACAGAGACAGTCGCGGGCGCCGGACTTTGGTCTGGAGTGGCTGGCTCTAACTTTGGCTTCTTGCGGGCTTGTGAAGACGATGAAGCTAGATGGGCACTCGTCGTCGACAGGGACTTGTCTCGGTGGCGCCGACTGCCTCGTTTCGGCTCCTTTTCGCGATTCTCCTTGTTGGTATTGGGGTCTTGATCTTCCTCCTTCTTATCCTTCACTTTGACCGATCGGACCGTATCTTTGCGGTCGGCTTCGTGGTCGTCGTCCTTCTTGCGACGCGACCGTCGAGGGCGAGTTTCGCGAGGGGTACCGTCGTGTGTGGTGCGAGACTCGTGTTCGTCCTGGGCCGGTATATTGGAGGGCTCGGGGGACATGATGAGCAGTAATAGACGAGTCGAGAGAGGAGAGGGGAGGGGGGGGGGGGGGGGG